GGAAACACACATGAGCAGAGTAACAAGCAAGGTTCCCAGAGATCCCAAGTAGGCAAGAGTTGAGTTCTTCTGTCTGGACGGCGACCTTCAGCGGCCGTGATGCCTTACTCAGGATTCTGAGCCCTGCTTCAACACGGGCACTTGCCGTCCGGAAATGACTGACGTGCCTACACTGCGGCGGCATGGAGGTTCTGTCAAGCTGCAGGCGGCATGTGGAGCCCTGCCCAATCTGCAGAATCTGTCAAACCATGCAGCAAAAGGCAACGTGATGCAACGGCTCTATCCCACCGATCGCGAAAGTGAGCCATTCTCCAAGAGCTGTAAACAAGTTGTAAAAAGACGTCGCAACGCAGAGCTCAGCTCTTGCGACTGTAGAAGCCAGCACTCCACCTGCCCGGAATTTGAACCAGAGCGTAGCTCGTGCCGGCTTCTTTTCGCCAGGGCCTTTGACATGGGCCATGCACGGTCTTGCAGCTGGACTCAGGCACCAGGCCTTCTTCTCACATCGGGAGCGGCAGGAAGTGCATGCGGAGCCTTTTCGGAAGGGGGCTTGGAGCAGACTTCAAGAGNNGACGCCGGCTGCGCCTCTCCAGGGCTCCCATGAGTTGCTCGGAGCTCTCTGAAGCGTTTCCGGGTCGGCTCGGGGACTGGTGCGTCACCAATCCTGAACGAGGGGAGCACTAGCACTGTGGCGAGATCGCCACTGCAGGCGAGGAACCAATCAGGTTGGAGAAGTTCATGCGCGCCAGGGTCTTGTGCAGGTTTCGGATGTCCTCGGGCTTCCATGATGCTCCAAGACGGCCATTGGGACAACGAGACCACGGGTGAAAGAAGCAGAAAGAGCTGAGAAGGCGTCCCGGTCCGAGATGGATGCCGGCAGGGCCCGCGTGCTGGCCGACTCTGCCTGCCAGGAAGATGCACACGCCCAGTGCGCCAGTATGCGCCAGTCTTCGGGGGGGACGCCTCCAGCATGCCGAGCACCTCGGAGGCCTCCTCGAGGAAGCCCACCTGGTAACGAAAACAAGCACAAAAAGTGACCGGCGGAGGCGCGACATGCGGCCTGCTCAGCCTTTGTGCGGCAAAACTCC